TTTCAGCCACCGCAGCCTCGACCTGCTGGGCTCCGGCGATCCTTCCGCCTCAGCCTTCCGAGTAGCCGGAATTACAGGCACATGCTACCACGCCCGGCTGATTTTTTGATTTATTGTAGAGATGAGGTCTCGCTGCCCAGGCGGGTCTCGAACCCGCGGGCTCAGGCAATCCACTCACCTCAGCCTCCCAAAGGCATGGGATTACAGGCTGAGCCACCGAGCCCGGCTAGGGAATTCTTGATTGGAATGCTTTGGCTTCGTACTACCAGTTGAGGAAGGGAGGCGTTGTCAGTGTCATGAAAGGCAAAGCACAATAAAAAATAAACACTGGGGAACTGTTTTAGGTGAAAGAGGATGAATGAGACATAGCAACTAAACACAGTGTGTGATGGCTTGTAAAAGTTATAAAGACTTGGGCAAATGGGGACATTTTACCTTGACTTTTGTATCAGGCAACACTAATGTGTATCAAATTAAAGTTAGATTTCCTGACGAGGGCAATAAATGTGTGCATACCTTTGTTTTTAGGAGATGCATGTTGGTGGATTTAGGGTGAAGCATTGTGATGCCTACAGCCAGTGCTCAATTCAGAGAGAGAGAGGGAGGGAGGAGGGAGGAGGAGGTGGCCAGCGTGGTAAAGCAAAGTGGTGACAACTGGTGAGTCTCAGTGAAAAGCACGTGGGTGTTCATTGATTTTTTTCTATAGATGTAACATTTTTAAAAATAAAAGTTGAGGAACATTAAATTTCATTTTGCATCTTAGAAAATAGTAGAGAGCTAGATACACCAGCAGTGCGTTGTCTGAGTCTTCTGTATTAAGCAGATTTGCACTAAAAGCAACAGTGAAATGGCAACTCTCTAGCTTGAGCTTGCTAACTCACCGCACATTGAAATCACAGTGGCACAGCAAATGTCTGTGGGCTGGTTCTCCATGTGAAAAGTACATTAATGAGCCTTTTGTGCCAATTTCAGTTTCCAGGAAATTTTCTTTAAACCAGTGACGATAGTTCTGGAGATCCTCCTGTGTCCTGCTCAGAGGTGAGCTGAGTGATTCATGGGCACTGCACCTGATACCGTCAGCTTTTGTAAAATCAGGCCAAGTGTTTTTTTTATCAGAAGCATTTCCGGTGCTCAGATCTATGTCTCTATTTTTCATAAAGGATCTCAGACCCTTAGTTCTCATGGCAGGTCTCCTCTATAAGACGTACTCTTGAGTTTTGTTTTAAGTTTTAGTTACTGCCGCAGGGCACCCAGGAAGTTCAGTGGCTCCATGTGTCGTGTGAACTGGTGATGCCACGGACTCACAATTAGTGAGTTGTCTTTGCATCAGCCTCGTTCTTTTCCTGAATGTTAATATGTGATTTCTCAGCAAAAGACTTTGTAAAGTAAGGCGTCTAATAAGAACAAACTCTTCTCAGCAAAAGGCAGAACTGAGCTTCTGAAGATCAATCTTCGCGAGGTCGAGCTCGACCCTGATATTCAGCTGGAAGATATAGCAGAGAAGATTGAAGGCTATTCTGGTGCTGACATCACTAATGTGTGCAGGTAATTTTTTAATGGTCTGTGATCTTAGATACTCGTTAGCAATTTGGTAGGAGGATTGGTCTTCGAATAAGCGGAGTCAGCTGTTGATGTGAAGGCAGCCACTCATTTCTTTAAATTGGTTGCCCATTTCATCTCGTTTCTTTTTTCTGAATAATTTCATTGGTTGATGTTAGATGAAAAATTATATACCAGTATGGTCATGGGTGTTTTTTACCCTTTAGTTTTTGAGAAATTGTTGTGTCTCACCTGTAGTGATGACTTTGACAGTCTAAGGTTACTTGAGCTCCGTGTTGGAGCCTTGCTGCATCAGTGTAAAGCAATACCATTTTGTTTCAGTTGGCATTATTTGAACACACGCCAGATGAACAACGCAGATCAGTTCAGCTGTGGAAGACACGCACACTCACACGTGAACCTTCCTTTTCCAGTATAGATCGTTATAATTTTTAGACAATTCATATCTCTCAGTAAAGAGAATTTTTTCTTTTTGTTCTTATAGCTCCAGTTAAATTGATTTTAGTAGGCTTTCTTTAAGGCCATCACATCTGTTTTTTCACTCCTTATACTAGTATTCTTCCTATGTGCATCTAAGTTGAGTGGCCTGCAATAAGATCACAATAGTTTTTACGATCACTATAATAAAATACTTAAACATTTGAAATTTTGATAGACTTGGCCTTCCTGATGGCTCCTCGGTCAGCACGAATCATCCATTCCTTCCAAACCTTCCTATTTATTTTTAGTTTTTCCAGTGGGCTCAGGAGAAGCCAGAGTTTATACCTCTAGTTGCCCACAAATGCGCCTTGGGGGGCATTCCATGGCTTCTGTGTTTGTATATAGTCATGTTCCAGAAAGAGAGTTTCTTGGCTTTATCCTTCCCATCAGGCTGTAGACACACCGTCTCTGGTTTGAATTATCTCAACATCAGCCATATGTTCATTTCCAAGTGTGTACCATTCAGTGTTTCGACTTGCTTCCTAAACTTCTTGGCTGCCTCTGAGGCGCAGGTGGGGAAGAGAGGATTCCTTAGGATCTGAGCGCAGTCTAGACTTCTAGGGCTCATTCGCTACACAGTTCATGTTTTTAGTTCTTTGCATCTTGGGTTTAACTTCTGAACCCTCAGGATGTCTCTTAAGTGGAAAGTGGTAATACAGCAAATGATCTGTTGAGTGTTTCCCATTACTTTGGTTTAAAACATGTGCAGAAATTGCTCCTAACCAATTCTTCTGTTTTAGGGATGCCTCTTTGATGGCGATGAGGCGGCGCATCAATGGCTTGAGCCCTGAAGAGATCCGGGCCCTTTCTAAAGAGGAGCTTCAGATGCCCGTCACCAAGGGAGACTTTGAGTTGGCTCTGAAGAAGATCGCCAAGTCTGTCTCGGCTGCCGACTTGGAGAAGTACGAAAAATGGATGGTGGAATTTGGATCTGCCTGAATTTCTGCCAGCTCTTTCAGTCCTGAGGTTTTTGTTTCTAAAATGCAAAGAAGTTCCTGCAGTTTTTTAAAATGGGAATTTGGGGGATTTTTCACGGTAGAGATTTTCACTTGAAGAAAAGATCTAAAACCACAAAGAATACAAAATGTAGTTGAGAAATAAGCAGAGCTTAGGGCCCGATCATCCCCTGCTGTGCTGGGGTCCCAGCATTCCTGCATGAACACCACCTGCTGGAGCCTGCCCATCAGGAAGGCCGAGGAAATGAGCAGTGTGCTTGTGCTGTGTTAGGGACTTGTTTACAGAAGACAGAAAAGAACCTGCGTTTCCCACTTGAATTTGTTTGTCTGTTTTTTCAGTTATTTGCTCTGTCAGCATGAAGGACCTATCTATATATGTTGGGTTTTAACATCAAAACTGGGTTTGTGTAGAATTCCTTATTTGTTGATAAGAGAGCAGTAATAGTCTGTCTTGGAGAAGTAATGACTTTGCTCGTTCAACCTTTAAAATTCATTGATTATCTACTATCAGAGTCGGTCATATGGCTAGAATCCCCCCTTCTACCTGCTATATAACCATTTTTCGAGCTATAGCCTTGTTTTCCAATTCTTTCAATATCCTCATGAAGGTGGGGAGAATATTATGATCGCGTTAGATACACGTCTTCATTCTGGACTTCTGAGTTCGTTTTTACTTTTCTTGTGATATGCTCAACACATACAGCCATTATTTTTCACAACTCCAATCTTGTTTGATATTGTTGAATTTGACTTTAGTATTTGAGATAAATACTTTGGCATTCTAAACAAGTACACTCTCTGCGGCTGATCCAAGCCAAACAATATCTTTAGTTTTCCAGACAGCTTGTTTAATAAAACAGCAGCACACATAGCAGATCAGGTTCATTTGAAATTTCACAGTTCTTCCTTGTCCACAGGTTGAGAACTCTTGTACATGGTAAGATGAGGATAAAAATCTGGCATGCTTTCTCAGTTCTGTAGGAATTAGACAGTAGAAAAAAGCCAGGAAAAGTAAATGGCTTAGATCTCATGACAGTAAAGTGTTCTGGTGTTAGTTTTTATAATTACATGTGTCCTATTTTGATTACTAGGCAATCCGTACTTTAATGGTCAAGCTTCTTAACATTTGTATTTGATGACATTCTGAATTCTCAATTTTGGATAGCACCTACTGGTTTAAAGCTAAAAGTAACATAACTTTTTAGACACATTTAAAAAAAGCTTTTTAGAATCTTGCTTAAGATATTTGATTTTTTTTTTCCCACTTAGAACTACAAATGCCTTATGTTCTTTTCAGTTAAGTCTATTTACACTCTTGTTTTCATCTGAGGCTATAAATTGCACTTTTTCCTCTAAGGCACGGATTATAAGACTTCAAATTGAAGTGAGAGAAGTTTCTTTTTATTCATGAACTTTTATTTATTTTAGATTTCAGGGGTACACGTGCGGGTGTTTTGCATAGGTACGTTGCATGACGGTGAGGGTTGAGCTTCTCTTGAGCCTGTCACCCAGGTGGTGGGTGTGGTACCCAGTGTAAAGTCGTCTTTACCCCCCTTGCCACCTCCCCACTTTAGGAGTCCCCCATGGTATTCAGTGTTTAACTCCCATTTACTAGGGGAAACGTGGTATTCAGTCTTCTGCTTCTGTGGTAAACTACATCCATGTCACTGCAAATGATGTTACTTTGTTCTTTTTTTACAGCGGCGTAGTATTCCGTGGTGTATTTGTACCACATTTTCCTTATCCAGTCCGCCAGTGAGGGGCCCCTGGGTTGGCTCCATGTTTTTGTTATTGTGGACAGGGCTGTGAAAAACACGCAAGTAGCAGGCGTCTTTTGGTAGAGATGCATGCCCCTTTTTCATGAATCGTAGTGAGGTTGCTGGGTCGATGATAAATCTGTCTTTAGTTCTTTGGGAAATCTCCAGACTGCTTTACACAGGGGTTGAACTAGCTGACATCCCCACCAACAGTGTACGAGTGTGTGAACTTTTAAAATAAGGAAATGTCCTATTGAGATTCTCTTGCCATCCAGTAATGTTTTTTTTTTTTTCCTGAAGTTTTAGGGCCAACTGCTAAAAACAGTAGTCTTGTAATTGTTAACATTCGTTTGTAATATTTCAGTTGCTTAGTTTTACCTTTTCTGGGTTTTGCGTTATTTATCTTGGCATGCTTGTTCTGAATTCCTTATGGATAATGACATAGTAATTGTGATTTTTCATTGCCAGTTAAGCAGCATTTGGCAACTCAGATTTCCTGGAAGCTTGTCTTTACTGTGTTAAGTGAGTCAGGTGTGCGTTCTTATTTCTCTTGTTTCTCATTTTGCTGTATCAGTGGGTGGTAAGTGCTTTGCATATCTTGAAACCCTTAAAGGATCTTGAAGCAATTCAACCTTTGGTGTGTATTGTATATGCATGGTCTTTATTGTAAAGGCAGTGTGTTCCCTTACCCAGAATGAGACAGAATTGTTTTGCTTTGTTTCATTTTTCTGTGTTGCAATAGCAGATGCATGATCGAAGTAGAAATATTTGGTTCCTTTAATTCCTCTGAAAACATGAATATTCTGAGTTCTACAAAACAATGAATGTAGGACCTAGACGTGTGTAATCCTGCTTTGCAGATGTCTGATCAGATAGTCCCTTTATTCTATACATTTTTATTGGTTCTTACTGTGTACAAGACACGGTGGGTAGGAGCTCTGACGTGCAAAACTAGATGAGACAGTGCACTTTCTCAGATGACTCTAGCTTCTGGCTTCTACTGAAACAAGAGTTTAGAGCATAGATGGAGAGGCACAATAAAATCTGTGTGTGCTTTGGAAAGATAATATATACAGAGGGACTCTCCCTCTTTTTTGTTCTTTAAATCTGTTTTAAAATTAGAACTGCTTCCATTTGTTTGAACAATAGATAACTATTAGAGATTTAATTTAATGAACATTTTTTATCATTTTCCAAGGTATGTGTGTATTATAAATATGTATACATGTAATTACGGCGCATGATATGTTACGTGTTCACTGTAAACATTTGGCTTCCATAATTCTTTAAACAAAAGGAAATCGCCATTGGTGAAATGGACCAGATGAACAACTCTTGAATGGTGGCTGCAACCTTCTGGTCGTCCAGGTAGAAAGTAGATGATGGCATCCCAGACTCGTTATCTTCTAGCCCCAGCAATGTGGTCGTTCCAGAAAGACCAGACATACTCTAGGGGCTGACCACACCTCCACACCATCTTGGAAAGGGAAGCCTGCCGTGGTCCCGCTGCATGGCAGGGCTAAGATGAGCTCCTGAGGCTGCAGCTTTTGTGATGCGGTATTGGACTCTGAAAAAATAGACTGAAATCATTACTCAAAAAGCAAGCAGGAAGTATCTGGCAAATCTCTTATGATCAGCCGTTTGGATACAGCAGGGAAAACGTGTGCACACAACCCACATTTACAGTGTAACCGGCACTCTCTCATTTTGCTCCACATAACCTGACTTGAAAATGTTAGTACTGGTTGGGTGTGGCTCCTGAGTTCATGTGAGTCCCTTTCTTGGAAGGAAGGTCCTTTGCATGCGGCTGAATTTGAGATGAGAGTCATGAAACAGGAACGAGGTGACAGAGTGAAGCCTCCGCTGTCCCCGAGCCTCGGTAGAGACAGAGTGAAGGAGGCACTTCACGTTGTGTGAGTGGACACACATGTCCCGGATGGAGTCTCCCTTGCATAATAGTAAATTCCCATTCTTCTTCTGTCTTCTCATCGCCAAGTCACTTTCGGGTATGCTCTGTATGACAGACCTAAAATGTGAAGGGGATATGGTGTGGCCTTTTCTCATCACCACTAATTTTAATTTTCTTTTTCTTGGAAAAGGCCACCTCAACTTGTGTGAGGAAAAATTGTAACTCCTCATGAACCCTCTCCTTTATCTTTTTTTCTTAACTGTTCAGGTCATGTTGTTATTAACATCCTGCTTAATTTGTGATGCACATAATCTTTATGTGAATGTAAGAATCTGTCACAATAGAGAAAAGCAGAAATTATAGTTGGAGGACACGTCGTAAGGGGGACAAAAATATTTAACCCTATAATGTTTTACTCTCATCGCCACTAATTTTTTTTTTTTTGCAGAAAAAGCTAAAAACTGTAATTATTATGTTTACTTATTTATACTTTTAAATTAGACTTTTCACACTTATTTATTTAATTTTTTTAGACATTTGCTTTTGATATTTGTTTAATGTGGAAACTATGAGTATTTAAACAATCAGATCCTTAAGATAATAGATATGCTCTTAAGCATTCATGTCATTAACAATAATTCTTTGAATTTTCATCAGGTTTATTGGCTCTGTACAACTCTTTCTTTAATGACATTTCTAAATTTTCCGTGACTTGTTAATAAAAACAGGCAACATATGAAGGTAATGTTATAAAATTATTTTATTGCATATTTCTCATTTCTTGAGAAAATGAGTAAATAAACCTAGATGCTGTTTTATCAGTGTGTAGGTTTTTGTACATTTGGAAATAGGAATTTAATTGAGAGACGTTTCCCTTATGTAGAGAGCTACCATTTCATTTGATGTTCAGACCTCTAACGTCCACTTTGACTTTACAGTCTCTGAAATGGCTAGATAGTGCCCTTTGGGAAACCTTATTCTTTGCACGTGTTATTCCAAGTCTACCTCAGTTGGCCAGGCTTGATTTTAGACAGGAACGAACTGAATTAAACCCAGTTCCTCTTCTGTGCAGATCTGTTTCTTAAGCACTTCTCTTCTGTTCTTGCCCTCCTCCCATCAACTTTTTTTTAACCCTGAAATTTTTATTTAAAATATTCTCTCTTCTTCCTGTGCAAAGCCACGTGCTCTGAACACGGCCCCTGTGATACGCCTCACCTGCGCTCTCGTCTTTGTGACGCCAGCTTCACCTTCCGGATGTCCCTTGTTCTGTGCAGTGGACACGTCCTCCCATTTCTCATGGCTTCGTAATATAGACTAATGTGATGGCATCGAACATTTTGGAGACCGTCCGACAAACCACTCCTGTATTTATTCTCTGAGAACTGAAGTACTTTATGCAAACACACAAGACTGGACAAAAATGTATGCACATGGCGTGGGCAGCGGCGTAGCCTGCCACTAGCACTGTGTGGACGCGGTGTCCGTAGCATCGCTATGTGTTCCCGGGGCTTGCAAGTGTGTTGCAACGATTTCTGTTTTGGTGTCTGTCTCCCAGTGTCTGAACCTAATTTAAAGAATAGACATTTCTAATTATATTTATTAAACATGTTTTTCCTTACATTTTGTGCTGCTGCTTTACTGGTCTCATGAGCTTAATTGTATTCGTGTGCAGGTTGTAATTTAGCAATAAATTTCAAGTGTTGGCTGTCGGTGTTTTCTTTGTGGCTCGTTTGATCTGCATTCACCGGTACCCTTATTGCCACCAGCGGGAGCCACAGACCCCTTACCAGGAAGGCATGACTTTGCCCAGATTTTTGTTCTCATAAAATCACATATTGTAAACCTGACCCTTAGTGCTTTGCTGTACATTCTACCAATAATTTCACAGTGTATGCAGGTAAGATGAGTGTGTTTTTTCCATTAATTCTAACTGACTTAATAAATAAGTTGTCTTATTTGTGTAGGACCATTGCCACGTGAGTGTCCTCCCATGTGGTGAATTCTCCAGATGACGGAGTCTTATTTTATGACCCCTCCAAGCAATATCTTTAGCTAATGGACTTTATTTTTTAGGGCAGTTTCAGGTTTACAGAAGAAGTCATAGAGCTCCCACGTACTTCCTCCCGTCTACCCCCAGTTTCTCCTATTAATGTCTTGTGTCGGCGTGGCACGTGTTTTACAGCTGATGCACTGATGCCAGTCTGTTGTTATTGCAGAGTCCACGGTCTGCGTTAGGCTTTGCTTTGTGTCGTACAGTGTAATAGCAGAAGCCTGATGCCACGCATCCCGCCTCCCAGTACAGAACAGTGTCACTGCCCGGAGAATCTGTGTCCACCTGTTCATCTCCCCTCTCCTCACAGCCCCCGGCGACTGCTGACCTTCTGTCTGTCTCTCTCGTTCTATTTTTCTCAGAATGTCATGTGGTTGGAATCATACAGCATGCACCCTTCGAAGGCAGGCTTCTTTCACTTAGCAGTGTGCATTGGAGGTTTCTCCATGGCCTCTGGGGCATGAAAGCTCATTATTTTTAGCAGCTGAATAATATGCCATCATATGGAGGGGCCACCGTGGGTTTACCCATCCACCTACAGAAGGACATCTCGGTTGCTTCCAAGTTGTCACAATCACACGCAACGCTGCCGTCAGCATTCAAGCTCAGGTTTTTGTGTGTACATAATGCTTTCAGCTCATTGAGTCAAAGCAAGTGTGAAGGTCGGAACCTGGGGTAAAGGTATGTATACTTTTATAAGAAACCACCAAACTGTCTTCCTAAGGAGCTGTGCCATTTTATGCTCCCAACAGCCGTGGGCGAGCGTGCTTGCAGCTCCCTTTCCTCGTCCGCACTTGGTATTGTCGGTTTGTGGGACTTTGCCATTCTAACAGGTGTGTCGTACTATCTAATTTTAATTTGTGGTTCCCTACTGACACGATGCCGAGCATTTTCTCATATGCTCCTCGATATCTTGAAACCTTGCTAACATAGATCACATTTGTTCCCTGAGAGTGTTAGCTAGAGAATTTGAACTTACTCTTTTCTTTGCGATTCAGACTTAGCATTGTGGGCATCCGTCACTTATTTTATGCTGTTCCCAGCAGCTAGTGGAGGGGTGGCAAGGCTCGTTTTTTGTTTTTTGCTTTTTCCTTTCACTGATTGGTCGCTGAGTTTCGGTGCTTGCTTTTATAGCATGTCTCCTGGTCTGTGTCAGCTGTCCTACTTTCCTCCTCGTCCAGTATTGTTTTCAGTTTTCAGTGTTCAGTGAAACGGTTGCCAGGCTTGCTAGAGTCATGGGTAAGTTGGTACAGTTTAGGGGTGAGGACTGGTGAGAGTCTATTCTTTGGGCTTTAGTGCTGTGTGCCATTTCTCTCTCAATGGCCTTTTTAGCTTTATCTTGCATTCACAGAAGTGTCTCTGGTAGGCCACGTGTCAAGAAGATATTTATGCATAATAAAAGTTATGATGTTCACAACTGGAAGGCACCGAGGAGCAATATCAGGGCCTCACTGGTTTTTCTTCCCATGGCCATTAGTGAAGCTCCGATCTCTTGAAGGTGTAAAGGAAAAGAATCAGATAAGTGGAGCAAAAGTAGCAAACGGTGGTGCCTAGAGCCAGCCTTCTCCTCCCGCAGTCCTCGGTCCTTCCTCCAGTGCACGTGGCCAGTGCCACCTCATGACCTGATCTGGTTACTGTCTTACATGGCAGAGCATGGCGCGGTGTTGGGATATCAGCCCAGGAAGCCAGGATTTAGCTGGAAACCGTGAGGGGAGATCTAAGCTCTGCCAGGCTGTCTCCGTCTCTACCGTCAGCTGCTGCCTTTCTAAAGGATAAGCAGAAATGCCCAGGTGGGCTCTTCTCACCTGGCTGGTCCTATCAGCTGGCACCCAGATTCTGGAGACTGGTGCTGCCTCCAGACTGGATGTGACCACAGGCAGCTGCGCCCAGCCCAGACAGACATGGGTTTTACCTGGGCATCCCATGGACTCTTGCTATACCCAGAACAGGTGAGAGAAGGATCAGAGGAGAGAATCACATGTGTTCACTGGTTTACTTCCCCCTCAGAAAAGCTTTGTGGCCGACTCTTTCCTGGTTTTACTTATTCTCGTATCTTCAGAAGACGTTCCTTGTTAAGTTCTGAGAGGCTCACTAGCAGCCAACAGCATCGGGCGCTGAAATCGAGAGAAAGACACTGGATTCCCTCATGGGTGAAGAGCTGAACTCATGAGGATTTAAAAATAGGAGTTCAAGACCACGTTCTGACCCAGAAAGCAGAACTTAGATCTGTTCCTGATCTTGAAGAATGCCGCAGACAAGTCTTAAAAAAGAGAGCAAGTCAGACAGCAGCACATTCATGAAGTACCTTTTTAAGACCAGCACGGTACCGATACAGACACAGGCCCGACAATAAGAAACAGAAGATGTCATCATAGGATTGGAACAAACATAATGTTTCCTGTGTGCTAGATACTGTATCATTTCATTAAACTCACGCATTAGCCCTAAGATGCCGTAACAGGGTAACCCCAAACCTGAGTGGGCTTAGGTATAATGTCTGTCTGTTCCAAAGAAACCACCTGTAGGTCCAGCAGGAAAAGATACTGGTTTATTAAAACTCACAGGAGACACCAATGGCGGCCGGTCGGTGAAGAATCTGCACCTCAGGGCAGTTTTATAATCAAAGCAATCAAGTGAATCATTTGCATTCCTATCCAGTGTATGCAGTTACATTGATTAAGCATGGTGACTACGTTGCTTTCAGCTCTGCTTGGGTCACCTGCATCCCATGACTCATTCATTACGGGGGAATACACACACCCTGAGACCAGCCTTGGTCAGAGGCCACTCCCTGAGGGAGGGGGCGGGAAGAAGCCAGTCTATGTCCCGACAGTACCTGGCAGAAGTGTCTGACTCTGCAGAAGAGGACACAGGCTCCCAGAATGACCTGCTCCAGCTGCCGGCTCCTAGGATGTGAGGGACGTTGGTACCTGGGTCAGTGTGGTTCCAGAGCCTCGTCCCTTGCCATATTCCAAGATTATGTGCAAGTGTCACACACGCACAAAAATACTCAGTTACTAAAATAAATAGGCTGCATTCACCCACTTTTTTGAGATCATGAATCACTTTCTTATCCTCCCTTTCCCTTAATACTTTTTTCCTCAGGAGCTTTTATAGGTAGATGACTCTGATACATTCTGTGTCAGAATTTATATTAATAATGTAGGCATAAAAGAGGGCTCTTGTGTGGTGGGATTTAGATGAGTTTGGGACTGTGATACAATATATAATATACATATAATAATAATATAATAATACTAATACTATATCGGTGCAAGTATAGAGGGTGCCAAATATATATATATATATATGCACATATACACAATTTTAAGAAAGGAAAAGTCTGTATTAAAATTGTAATAATCTATACCAATAACAAAAGATGAATACACATCCTGTTTGACTTCTGCAGTGCCGAGGCGCTGGTTACCATCCGCATCCAGACACTTCTGGAAGGTACTTTGAAAAGTAAATACATAGATAACATCTTTTAACGTGTGTATACTTTTCTGGCCCCCCAGTATATCCCTATTGTTTTTTAGGGAAAGCTTTATAAAACGAACTAAGCATTCTAAGAGTTTCCACGAATTCTATTTAGGCCACCAGCTTAAGGACACAGAGTGCTAATGGTATTTTTCATTCCGAAGGTCCCCAGCAGTGCCCTGCCATGTGGATGCCAGCTCCAGAGTGCTTAGCTGGACGTGTAGCTGTCATCGGGCATCACGAAGGCTCTGAGTTCAGTGTCTGTATTTGAAGCACTGCCCCAGAGCTGAGCTCAGTTCTGAATGCTCAAAATACCTTTCAATAGGCGCATCTTAAATAATCGTTTAAACAATAACGAATCATGGTTGACTACTGTTTTCCATAACATCAATTCTAAACTATAGTGTTCTACTTATTATGTCATTAGAGATGGATGGATTGAACTTTATTTGTGGTTTATGAAATACACCCCAAGCTATTTTTCAAACATTTTGAAATATGTTTTGTAACCGTTCTCAAGCATACTTTACCAATCATATTTCCTCTCATGTTTAAGCCCTTGTGTATTTAGGGGAAATTTAATTCATGTGTTTCCAATTTATTTGCACTTAACGCATCAAAGTTGCCCTTTAAGAACAATTTAGTTTCTAAGAAGCCTGAGAAGCTCGTGTCATGAATTCGGTCCCTTAAAAGCCTTTTTCCAATCAGAACTCTTTTTGGTCAAAGAAAAATAAATGTGGAGGAAATGTTTGAGTTTGGTTTACAATACAGAGCCCATATTTCAAAATCTGAGCTAGTTATGAATGTAGGATAATTAGTCTGCCTTTGCTGCAAGAACTCATTTCATTTTTTGCTATTCAAAGCAAGCATCCGCTATACTAATACTTGTAATAACCATGTACTCTCTCGAAAATACAGAGCATAGATAGCCTTCTGCTGTCTTCCCAAATCACAGCAAAACTGACAGAGGTGAGGTGATCCAGCATATCAAACAAAATCAGCCAGCCATTGGCAATCCACCTTGTGTCCTGAGCATGTATACAGGCCATAGTCACACACAGCTGTGCGTGTGGAAATACTCATGGAAATTCCCACAGGTCCACTTTTTTGCTTTTACCTTATACGTTTTAACAAGACACTGTATTTTGGATTAACACTTTATTGTGAAGTGA